TAGAAGTTAGAGATTGCATAAATTTGATTTTATCATAAAATGTTTTACTTTCTCTGTGGATTGCTATTGATAGTTTTACTGGGTTTTGCAGTCTAGGTGGGCAACCATGATCTCTTGATGTTTATAAACCATTCATATATCCCCTTCTGGCGTTTAGGCTTTTAGACCCTGCATTGAAAAGTCAGATATTATTCTAATAGGCCTGCCTTTATATATGACTTAGTCTTTTTTTTTCTATGCAACTTTTAATATCCTTTATTTACTTTGTACATTTAGTGTTTTTGTTGTATGTCATGAAAAATTCTTTTCTGGTCCTGTCTATTTGATGTTCTACTTCTTGTACCTACATAAGCACTTCCTTCTTCAAATTAGAAAATATTTTCTTTTATGATTTTGTTAATATTTTCTGTGCCTTTTACTGACAGACTTCCTCTAACCCTATTCTTGTTTGTAGATTTGGTCTTTTCATGATATACCTGATTTCTTGGAACTTTTGTGTCTCGTTGCTGTTGTTGTTGTTGTTGATTTGTTCTAATATTTTCTTGGACTGAACTATCCAGTTCTTCTACCTTGCCTTCAACACCCTAGATTTTCTACTCAACCTCTCATAAAGGTTGGTGAGGCTTACTTACCTCTGAGGTTTTTGTTTGACTTCCTAAATTTTTCATTTCCAGTTTAATTTCAGTTTGCATTTCCTTTAGTGAGTCTATTAGTATTTTTATATCTTGAACCCTTTTCATTATTTCACTCACATGTTTCTTTGCGTCTTCAGGGTCTTCATTAAGTGATTTATTCATAACAACATCAAGGTTCTTAAACATATTTGTAGTTGTAATTTTGAAATTTGTATTCTGTGCTTCAGCTTTACAGTATTTCCCATGGCTTACTCTAATAGGGTTTCTGGGTTCTGGTGGAGGCATACTGTCTTGTATGTTCACATTCATGTTTTTGTTCTGGGATCTAAGCATCTAATATGATGTTTCAGGGATTTCTTGGTATTAATATCTGGTCTTGTATTTGTTGGGTGGGTATCCTAGGCAAGTGAGATGGATATGTTGCCCCCAGTAGATAGTTTCTGAAGCCAGTTGATGGTGTAAAAGAATGCAGATGGTCTAAGAAGAAAAGCTGAGAAGGTCTGTGACAAAAAACTGCCAGAAGCCAGGACCCTTGCCCTTACCCTCACCCCTACCTTTCCCCACCTGCATAATGTCCCCTGCAGCTTGGCAACCACAAGATCCTGCTTGGCAAGCAGTGTATAGCAGGGAGACCATAATTCAAGCAGTGTACCATATCCTCTGAAAAATAGCAGGTAGATAATAATTCAAGGCAGTGTACCGTATAGACCATGACATGTTTCAAGCCACAGGCCGAGAAGATTCTGTACTTTTCCACCACCTGGCCCCTCTTACCCCCTCCCCTTGTAAAGCATGTTATAAAAAAGCATTTCAAGTTCCTGAATAGAACACCAATGGTTTGTGCTCTAAGATCAAGAATTGACAAGCGGGACTTCATAAAATTGCAAAGTTTCTGTAAGGCAAAGGACACTGTCAATAGGACAAAATAGCAACCAACAGATTGGGAAAAGTTTACCAATCCTACATCTGATAGAGGACTAATATCCAATATATATAAAGAACTCAATAAATTAGACTCTAGACAACCAAATAACCCTACTAAAAAATGGGGTACAGAGCTAAACAAAGAATTTTCAACTGAGGAAACTTAAATGGCCGAGAAGCACCTAAAGAAATGTTCAGCATCCTTAGTCATCAGGGAAATGCAAATCAAAACAACCCTGAGATTCCACCTCAGAGTCAGAATGGCTAATATAAAAAACTCAGGTGATAGTAGATGCTGGCGAGGATGTGGAGAAAGAGGAACACTCCTCCACTGATGGTGGGATTGTAAGATGGTGCAACCACTCTGGAAAACAGTCTGGTGGTTCCTCAGAAAATTGGACATATCATTACCTGAAGACCCAGCTATACCACTCCTAGGCATATACCCAGAAGGTGCTCCAACATATAACAAGGACATATGCTCCACTATGTTCATAGCAGCTTTATTTATAATAGCCAGAAGCTGGAAAGGACCCAGATGACCTTCAACAGAGGAATGGATACAAAAAATGTGGTATATTTACACAATGGAGTATTACTCAGCTATTAAAAACAATGAATTGGAGAGATTCTTAGGTAAATGGATGAAACTAGAAAATACCATCCTGAGTGAGGTAACCCAATCACAAAAGAACACACATGGTATTCACTCACTGATTATTGGATTTTAGCCCAGAAGCTTGAAATATCCAAGATTCAACTCACAGACCACATAAAGCTCATGAAGAATGAAGACCAAGTCAGGGTGCTTCAGTCCTTCTTAGAAGGAATAACAAAATACTCAAGGGAGCAAATATGGAGACAAAGTGTAGGACAGAAACTGAAGGAGGGACTGTCTGCAGATCACTCCTGGGTATGCATCCCTTCTCCTTTGAACAAGTAGGGGTACCCTGCCACTTTAAGTCTCTGAGATGCTAGGCCCTTTCTCTCCCACTAAGGCCAGACAAGGCAGCCCAGCTAGAAGAACATACCCCATATACAGGTAACAACTTTTGGAATAGCCCCCATTCCAGTTGTTCAGGACTCACATGAAGATCAAGCTGCATATTGGCTTCATGTGTGCAGGGAGGCCTAGGTCCAGACTATGTATATTCTTTGATTGGTGGTTCAGAATTTGAGAGCTTCAAGGTACCAAAGTTAGTTGGTTCTGTTGGTCATCCTGTGGAGTATCTATCTTATTTGGGGCCTGCAATCCTTTCTACTATTCTTCCATAAGAGTCCCTATGCTGTGGGTGTCTGTATCTGTCTGAGTCAGTGGCTAGGTGAAGTTTTTCTGAGAACAACAACATAAGTTTGCAAGCATAACAGGGTTTCATTAATGGTATTAGGGATTGGTACTTCCCCATGAAATGGGTCGCAAGTTGGGCTAGTTATAGTTTGGCCATTCCCTCATTTCTGCTCTATCCCCTGTGCCTGCATTTCCTGTAGACAGCATAAATTTTTGATTGAAAATTGTGTGGGTGGTTTGGTATCTCTATGACTCCACTGGAGTTTCTATCTGGCTACAGGAGGTGGCCTCTTCAGGTTCCATATCCCTAATATAGTGAGTCACAGCTAAGGCCATCCTCATTGATTCTTGGGTGCCTCCCTTATCCCAGGTCTCAGTCTCATCCTGGAGATGACCCCAGTCCTCACCTCTGTTAGTTGCAGTTACATTCATTTTCATGGCAATCTATCTATCTCTTTTGTCGTTCCCCACACCTGATCCTGAATCCCCCATTCCCCTCCTCACCCTCTCTCCTTCTATCTGGCTTTTATGACTATTTTATTCCTCCTTCTAAGTGAGATTCAAGCTTCATTGCTTAGGCTTCCCTTCTTGTTTAGCTTCTTTGGGTCTGTGGAGTGTAACACAATACCTGTATTTCATGGCTAATATGTACTTGTAAGTGGGTACATACCATGTACACCCTTTGGAGACTGAGTTACCTCACTTAAGATGAGTTGAGAAATGTGCAAAGTCCTTATTCTTCATGGAAATCCAAATCAAAACAACTGTGAGGTTCCATCTTACACCCATCAGAATGGCTAAGATCAAAAGCTCAAGAAATAGCATATGCTGGCAAGGATGCTAAGCAAGGTGAACACTTTTTTATTGCTGGTGGAATCAATTGCAAGTGCAAACTTGTACAAGCACTTTGGAAATCTATTGTCATTTTCTCATAAAATTGGGACTAGTTTGACATCCACACCCAGCTATACCACTCCTGGGCATATACTCAATGATTCTCTAACATCCACAAAGACACTTGTTTAACTATGTTCATAGAAGCTTTATTTGTAACAACCAGGAACTAGAAACAAACTAGATGTTCTTCAACTGAAAAACGGATAAAGAAAATGTGGTGCATCTACACAATTAAATACTATTCAGCTATTAAAAACCAAAACTTCATGAATTTTGCACGCAAATGGACCAAATTAATATTAAGGAGGAAAGAGTTTATTTCAACTTACAGCTTACAGCACAGCATCAAGTGAAGTAGACGCAGAGACTGAAGTCAAGATTTTGGAAGCATACTGCTTACTGCCATTGTTTCCATAGCAGCTCCACTGATTTTCCTATATAACTCTGAAACATCTACCCAGGGGTGCACTTCCCATATGAGCTGGGCCTTTCTTTGCCAATCATCTGCCAAGAAAATGCCCCCAGAGGAATGCTCACAGGCCAATCAGATGAAGAAAATATTACAATTGAACCTTCATCTTTCTAGGCTACTCTGATTTCTATTGACAATAACTAATCAGCACACTGTAGTTATTGATTTATACCTAAATCATGATGATTTTTCTTCATTATATAAGGAGTAAGATAATTTTGTCTATAATATCCTAAAAAGTAGAAACCTGAAACATATATACACAAATATACACAAAGAAAGAAGAATGAATCTTTTAAAAATATCCAAGTTAATAAACTAGTAAAATATTAATAATATATATTATTTATGCTATGTTGTTAATATTTTACATTCCTGGTCATATGCTACATGCTTTTGTCTGTCATTAAAACACAAAATTGTACTTCAAAAGAGGTAAAGGTGATATGAGTCTCTAAGCTGAAAAATTAGCGATCACACTGAAGTCTTTTTCAGAGGGTCACATTCCTGTAGCCTCTGAAGTCACATCAAAGGACATGCAAAGAAGTTTGATATGCAGCTATATTTATTTTAACATAATATAATATATAATTATAAATCTTTATATGATTGAACATACACATGGAAATATTTTAAAGAATTAGGCATTTACACATTACTTCATTAAAATGCTAGAACAGGTACAATTGGGAAATACTTTAGACCATGAACAAAATACGGTCACATTAAGCCTGCACACATTTGTGATATTTGGACAAAAAGACAAGAGCTGGTAACATGTGACCTAAACATTTCTCTTTAAGAATTTTTCCAGTGAGTCTTTGATTTGCTTGTTTCTCAGACTATAAATAATTGGATTCATCATGGGGATTATGACAGTGTAGAATACAGAGTCCATCATGTCTTCATCCTGTACTTTTTGGGATGCAGGAAGCAGATACATGAAGAGAAGAGAACCATAATATAAGCACACAGAGAGGAGATGGGCTCCACAGGTGGAGAAGGCTTTCTTTATGCCTTTGGCAGATTTCTTTTTTAAGATTGTAAACAGAACAAGTGTGTAAGAGCCTAGGATAGTTGAAATAGTGAAAACTTGAATAGAGCCAGAGAAAATAAAAACAATGAGGTAATTAAGAGAAGGATCGGTACAGGAAATCTTTAACAGTGGCATAACATCGCAGTAAAAGTGATGTATCACATTGGAATTACAGAAGGTTAATCGGAACAACATGCCTTCATGAATTGAAGCATGAAGAATTCCAGTTACAAAAATCAAGACGAGCAGACGTGCACACAGTCTATTAGTCATGATCATTGGGTACAGTAAGGGTTTGCATATGGCTGCATAGCGATCATAGGCCATTGCTGCCAAGAGAAAACATTCCATGGTTGCACACATCACAAATGAAAAGAACTGTATCATGCATTCAGAAAGAGAGATAAGTTTACTCTTAGTTATGAAGGTGAGAAGCATCTTTGGAGTCACTGTGGATGATAACCAAGTATCAACAACCGCTAAACACCCAAGAAATAAATACATGGGGATGTGAAGGTGAGGGTCATTCCAGATGAGAATGATCAGACCAAGATTTCCCACAATGGTGATCAGATAGATGACCAAGAACAGCAGGAACAGAGGGATTTTCCATGGTGGTTGGTGACTAAGTCCTGTGAGAACAAATTCGGTCAGCAGTGTTGTGTTCTCTGTTCCCATGTCTTCACTTAGATGCCCCTTAAATGAAAGGCAACAAATGTTAGACAGTATTAAATAAGGACTTGTAAAGTGAAAATTGGATTTGAAATATAACAATACATTTATCAGAATGACCTTTGAATTTTGTTCAGTTTGACTATACTAAATAGAAACTATTCTTGAATTTTAAGAAATAATTTTAATTCATTGATATAATTTTGATATGTGAAAATTAATAATTTAACAAAACATGATTCATTCTAAACATAGCATTGGTTTGATAGTAAAACTCAGTATCTGCATCATAAATTAACTATTACTGCAAAAATGTTTAAACCACATGAATTTTAAAGCAAATATGAGTTGTATGGTTTTAGTTGATTTGAATGTACTTTCTTGATGCAACGGAAACATAATAGAATAATGGTAGAAGAAAGTATCTCAAAACTAATTTTAATTTTTATATAGTAGCAACAAAATGGTGTTCTGATAGGAGAAACTAGATTCAACAATATCAGAAAGCGCTATAAGAAGCTCCTGAAGCTAATTTTATATCAGAGTTGTCTGGAAAGATTTTTTCAAAATGTAGATAGTGCACTATAACTACAAAAACTGAGTAGTGTATAAACAATTACATACCCTTTAAATCTTCTGAAGATGGTTTTTAAACTCATGTAAATTTAGCTAGTGTGTGTAAAGAATCATTGGAAGGTATCATGATAGCAAAGAGATAAATTGGCAATGATTTATAATGTAGAGTTTATACTATATACTGTTTTAAGAAATAAATTATACGTTTAATAAAATAGGAATCAAAGTTTTGCATAACCCGGTAGAAGGTGTAGAACTTAGCTTGAGCATTTACATATGCTATTCCATTTATTGTTATCACAAACCAAGCTGGAGGTATGAACTTAGGTTTTTGAGTCTACTAAGGCTTAATTGTAATTATGTGTTACTGCCTGGAACAGTGCCAGAGGTCAACATAAAGAATATGATTAAATGAGTGATAAGAGATTTGTATTAAAAATGAAGAGGTTTGTAATGGCTGAGGTGAAGAATCTTTCTTCATATCATAGAGGTGATATAAAAGAACAACAGGAATAGCGAGAGGCTAAAAGCCATACAGAGAAGAAATTATATTAATGAGCAGGAGTAATGTGAACTATTGTAGAAGCTGGAAAACAGATGGCATTTGTCCCTTCTAGGATATGATAAGAAAATTTTGCAAAAAGGTAATCAACTGACTGGGGAGAAGAGGAAGGTAATGAGAAGAGAAAACTCACAGGAAAACTAGAAAGGGTCATTAAGGTTGGTGAAAGAGAATAAAATAAAGAGAAACAAGAAGAATGTGACAAAGACAATGGGGGACAACTGTAGGAAAGGAGGGCAAATCAGAGACAGCAGTATCAGAAGACAGAAAATTAGAATAAGGGCAAGTTTCAGAGACTTGGAATTAAAGTTTGTCTTAGCCTTGATATATATGAGCTATAGCCAATACTGAACTTTTTAACAAAGGACACCATCGCATAAGTAAAGAGGCAGACTAGAGAATAGAAAAAAATCTGACAGAGGATTAGTATCTAGACCATACAAAGAACTTTAAAAACTAAACATCAAGAAAACCTCAGAATACCCAGGATACAACTCACAGACCATATGAAACTCAAGAAGAAGGAAGAGCAAAGTGTGGATACTTCAGTCCTACTTAGAAAGAACAAAATAATCACAGAAGGTAGAAGAAGGGAGGGACCTGGGAGGAAGAGAGAAGGAGGATGGAAAAAGTGGGTCGTGATAAGGTATGAGAAAAGATGGAAAAGTACAGAAGGTCAGGAAATTGAATGTAGGTGTTTAGCAGTGGAAGATGGGGAACTAGGGGTAGCCACTAGAAAGTCCCAGATGCCAGGGAATCAAGAGGTTCTCAGGACCCAAGGAGATAACATTAGATGACATTAGCTGAAATACCCAACTAAGAATAGATAGAACCTGTAGAGAACATATCCAATGGATAAGCACAGCCCCTGGTTGAGGGATAGGGCCAACCACCCATCTCCAGAATTTTAATCCAGAATGGTTCCTGTCTAAAGGAAACACAGGGACAAAGAGTGGAGCAAAGACTGAAGGAAAGACCATCTAGAGACTGCCCCACCTAGGGATCCATCCCATCTGCAGACACCAAACCCAGACACTATTGTTGATGCCAAGAAGTACTTGCTGACAGGAGCCTGGTATAGCTGTCCTCTAAGAGACTCTCCTAGGACCTGACCAATACAGATGCAGATGTCCACAGTCAACCAGCGGACAGAGCACAGGGACCCTAATGGAAGAGTTAGGGGAAGGAATGAAGAAGCTGAAGGGGATTGCAACCCTACACAAAGAACAAGAAAATCAACCAACCAGAGCTTCCAGGACTAAAACCACCAACCAAAGAGGACACATAGAGGGACCCATGGCACCAGCTGCGTTATGTAGCAGAGGATGGCCTTATCTGGCATGAATGGGAAGGGAGGACCTTGGTACTGTGGAGGCTTGATACCCCAGTATAGGGGGATGCTAGGACTGTGAGGCCGGAGTGATTGAGTGGGTGGGGGAGCACTCTCATAGAAACAGGGGGAGGGGTGAGATAGGGGGTTTGCAGAACAAAAACCGGGAAGGGATCAGCATTTGAAATGTAAATAAATAAAATAACCAATTCTTTTTTATAAAAAGAAAGCCAATAGATTTTTTCTTTTAAATGGGGTCTGTAATAAAACAAAATTTTCAAAAGAAGCACAAGTAACTGAGAAACACTTTTTAGAATGGTCAAAGTCCTTACCTATTAGGGCAATGAAAATCAAAACTAGTTTTAGCTTTCATTTTACCCCAGCAGAATAGCCAAGATCAATAAAACAAGTGGCAGCACATACTGGTGAGAATGGGGATAGGGCATGCTTATTCATTGTTGCTGGGAATGCAAACTGGTCCAGCCACTGTGGAAAATCAGATTGGAGCTTCCTCAAATAGCTGAAAATAATCTACCACAAGCGCCACCAGCACCACTCTTAGAATACACCCAGAGAACTCCACATCGTACTACAGAGATCCTTGGTTTTGTTTTGTACAAGTTAAAATATATTTCCTTATAGAACGTGACTTGTAAAATGTAGATATTAGTACTTCATTATGTTTGTGTTGTTCATATATAGATACATATAGAGTCACTGCCTAAAATTTCTTCGCCTCTTTAGATGCACATTTCTGATACAATTAAAAGAGTTGGAAAAATAGTTTTCTAGAAGTCTTATGGTGTTTCAATTTGAACTTTTATTTGAGAGCACATATATTACTAATTATTTTTAATCCTGCTGTTTTAACAAAATAAAATTAGCCAGAGTGGCTCCATATATTGATGATAAACACAGTACCAAAATTATAATTTTAAGATAAATTTGCACAGATACTTCTCTTTCTCTACAATCTTACAGTAAAGGAAATCAAATTCTTAAGTAGTTTGACATATGGGTCATAATTAAATAACAAATGCAGGAAAAAAAAGTTGTGAGAAGTATTTCCTTTCCTCTGTATTTCTTATATGTTTCTCTCCAATCGCTCTCTCTCTCTCTCTCTCTCTCTCTCTCTCTCTCTCTCTCTGTGTGTGTGTGTGTGTGTGTGTGTGTGTGTTGTGTGTGTGTGTGTGAGTGTGTGTGTGTGTCTCTCTCCATATATATATATATATATATATATATATATATAAAAAAATACTCTATGAAACATATATCATACATATTTTCTGATATATATATATATATCCATATATAATATAAAGTTTGTGAATTGCCTCAAGAAGGAATAAATATTTTCAATACTCACCTTAAAAGATTTAGTCAGAGAATATAATTAAGCGCAACACAGTCCATCCTTGTACTAGAAATCATCAGAATAATTACTTATTTGACAATCATTACTATGTGGATTTTTAAACTGAGTTTAAAGTTCATCTTCTAGTTCATGAGAACTTAAAATCCAATGGTTAGACAAAAATTGAAAGCATCATTTGAGAGAGCAATCCAAGCTACTTTACTTAGTCCTATTTAGCCGTGAAGTTAAAATGTACAAATTATCTATTGTTGGTGCTGCCTTCATTTATACCAAGCTGTTTAGGGATCCAAAGCCAAATACGTGATTACTATGGGGAAAAAAAAAACTACGTTCTTAATTCTCTAGGGAAAGGACAGTGTATGATGTAGAAATCTTTTCTATCCATATCTCAAAAGACACTGCTATGGTTTTCAGAAATACTGAGTTTTCTCAAGCAGAGTGGAACACAGAAGGCAGTTACCATACATAGAAATTCTTTTGCTAGTGACACATTTGGAAGTTTCTTTACCCACGCACAGGAAACTTTATTTATATGAATTTCCCCTCAATAACAACAACAACAAAACCCCACCAATTCCATCCCTGCATTATTTTTCCAGAAAAAGGGTTAAAGAAGTAAAATTCCCAATAGCCCAGGGTTCTCTGGAGGACTATGTGATGGTGTTCTACTGGGCACTGTGGGTTTGGACGCCTATGAGAAGTCCAAATTGGTCCCTTAGGGTATCACACACTTTATACTAATAAATATTCAATCTAGTAAGATATTATATTTTTAATAACCAAAGTTTTATTTTATACTATTGTTTCCCATACTACTATTTCCCATTGTTTGATATATTGTGTCAAAATGGCAATTTTGACAGGCTTAAACAAACTGTACATATGAAATTTGACACTCTAAAGCCTTTGACAAGGAGAGTTTTGTCTGAATCAATTTAAAAAGTTGACTTATGGCCAGAGATCTAAATCTCAGTTGTTTAAACTATGGGGTTTGAGCCCTTGTGGGATTATGATGTAGTTGGCAATGAAAAAGGTGTGTGGATTCATAGCAACAAAATAAGTATTTTGTATTTCAAACTCAAAGAAGTAGTGAAACTGAAGTCCTTTTGGCAATGCTGCTAAGTTGCAGTAGGACTTTATTTAGGTCTGTGTATTGAACCCAAAAT